TGAGGGCCTCGCTCCTTCCCGCGACTCCCCCGACTTTGTGCCATCGACAGGCTTCACCTCGTTTTCTTGGTGAACGTGTTTGAGAAAATGCCTCCCGAGGCCAGCCTTTCCCTAACTCCCCCCCTTCCAGAAGGTCTGGCTTTGTGCCATCGACAGGCTTCACCTCGGTTTTTTGGTGAGCGCGTTTGGGAAAACGTATCCTGAGGCCAGCCCGTCCCTAGCTCCCCCCCTTCCAGAAGGTCTACTCTCGACATAATACCCTGTGTTGCTTCGGTGACTTTCTGTCACGGCACCATCTCCTCCCTGGGTGGAAACGCTGTAGAATCATAGGATCATCAAGGTTGGAAGTGGCCTTTAAGATCATTGAGTCCAGCCATCAACCTAACATTGACAAAACCACCGCTAAACCACGTCCCTCAGCACGACACCTGCCCATCTTTTATCTCCAGGGATGGCGATTCAACCACCACTAAACCACGTCCCTCAGCACGACATCTGCCCATCTTTTCTCTCCAGGGATGGCGATTCCACCCCTTCCCTGGGCAGCCTGCTCCAACGTTTGATAACCCTTTCGGTGAAGAAATTTTTTCTTAATATCCAATCTGAACCTTCCCTGGCACAATTTGAGGCCATTTCTTCTTATCCTATGGGCTGTTTCTGGGGAGAAGAGACCAACCCCCCACATTGCTATAGCTATGCCACATTCCTTACCGCCCCCCCTCTCCTAGAAAAACAGTTCCCTTTCCACAGAAAATGAATGAGCTAGGTTAGTACCATTTACCTTCGATAAATTCACGTTGCAGTTTATCTAGTTTTTCATTCAGCGCCACGTCCTTGCACTCTGCACTGTGGGGAGGAGGCAATTTAATTTCTTCCGTCTCCTATCTGGGTATGCGTTGCTGCTTCTCCTCTCTCTCACTTCCTCTTCACCTCCCAGAAAATGTTTACATCTCTCTCTCAAGGACACAAGGCAGCTCCGGGGTTTGGTGCCTAACTCCCACAAAGCACCCACAACCCGCTCGTCAGAGGCAAGGCTGGCACCAAACCTCTCCAGAAAACTCTGACCGGGCACAGCTCAAGGCATCACCGTTCCCTGCTGTCTCTCCCACCTCCTTGTCACGCGTGACTGCCCCCTGAAGCGGAGTTGGTATGAGAAGCTATTTCCAGCCCTTGCAATTCACATTTTTCATCCATCAGCTGCTGGAGGTGAGGCTGAGGATACTTTCTCAGAGTGTGAGCTGCGCCAGTCAGGTCTGGTCCCCGGCTACAGCCTCCCAGCCCTGCTGCGAGGGTGAATAAACGGCACCTGAAACCACTACAGCAAGCTCTCGCTTGGCAGAACCTGCAGCCAGATAAATCAATTTGCACAGTGGAAATGAGGCCAAGAAAATCACATTTTTATCACCCCAGGGACGTCTATCTGGAGTCCAAGCCCTTTTCCGAGGGATTTTTTTGATGTTGGCGTTTTTATTAAAAGATATTAACTTTTTCTGAGAATAACAACTCTTTATTAGTAACAGAATCTTTGGTTAGTCAGAAAAAAAATCCATGCTGCTTTCTGCTCAAGGAGCTAAACAAACATTTTCCTGAACAGATTAGCTGCATTTAACATCAGTAAGGGGTGCCCTTTAAAAAAAAAAAACACCACCAAACCCTGAAGGTAGGAAAACAGGTTGAAGATTGAAAGGGCTCCATTCCTAAATCCATAACGAAATTAACGAAATTTAAATCTGTCTGAACTGAATCAAAAGACAATGGAGAATTCCCAGAAAATGTTGTATCTGAAAAGCATTGATGCTCAGTGAATATGATGACAATATGCTCATATCTGCCCAGAGAGGTGGTGGAATCTCCTTCTCTGGAGACATTCAAAACCCGCTGGGACACGTTCTTGTGCAACCTGCTCTGGGTGGACCTGCTTTGGCAGGGGGGGTTGGAGTCGATGATCTCCAGAGGTCCCTTCCAACCCCATATTGTTCTGTGATTCTGTGATATGAAGGCATACTGCTTTTCCTAAGACCTTCATTATGTTCACCAATGCAATGCTAAATACTGCAGTAAAAAGTATAGACTTTTAAGGAAAAATTGAGATAAGCCTTTTAAAAGATAATCTAATTAGTGTTAGCAAATATGGCAAATATTCCAGTTATTTAGCAGTATAGAATAAAAGTGCTTGATTTCTGTTTTTATTATTAAAAACATGCTTTAAGTTGTATCATGCCCATACTCTAGATTTCTTAATCATCGGAACACCATTTCATTTGCACAAATGATGTCCTTTACTCTGCGTAATGTGATTGTTATTATGGATAATTTATGTTTGATCAAGTAATATTTTGGGACTTTTCAGACCAAAGATATTATAACTATGATGATGAAATCTATGTTAGAAATTAATTTCCAAGTCTCTTTTGAATCATAGCCCCTAATTTATAAGTAAATCAACTATACATCTGAGAAAGATGAAAATAAACCTGTAATTCCTTATCATTTTCTTTCAACCCTTTTTTTGGAGGAAGTGCAATTTATTTTTTTAAATTCTGTCTTTTGAAAAGAAAGTGTCGTGTACCCAAGTACTGGTCCCCAGGAACACGAGGAGATTATCAAAACATGGTATGCATTCATTACGATTTCTTTCACAGCCCTTCCTTCTCATATAAAAGAAAATAATTCTAGGTAAATCAGTACCCAAAACCATCTGTTACCATGACAATTAAGGGAACAGTGATGCTGCCAAAGTATGAAAATGAGCTGGGCAGCATCAGGACTAAGTGACCGATTATGTCCTTACAGGTGCAGCAGCAGAGAGCAGGAAATGTGAAAATTATGCAGATGATGAGTTTCAGTCATTCTGCTTCCACAGAATGATACTTAAAATTTAAAAAAAAAAAAAAAAAAGTGCAAAATATAGTCCTTTACAAGCACAGAGGACAGACATGGAAATACTGCTCATACATATTTCATATCACTGGTTATGGTCATCATTGGGCTCATAATTCATGTTTCTTTTTCTGCATTTACTAAGAGTGCTCCCCCAAAATCATTAGATTCTGCCTTAAAACAGACTATTCTAATTTGACCTTCCTTAGCATCTCACTGTGCTGTTACTGTCCCCTCGGAGGTACCATTTTACACCAAGGCAGCCAAACACAGGAGTTATGCAAGGTTTAAAAAACAGAGCTTGAGAACACCACAGGACATGTACTGGATCTGATCAGGCAATCAATTTAACCCAACATTCTGCCTCCAGCAGTGACCAACAGCAGGCATTTGGAAAACAGTGTAATCAATGAAAACTGTCAGTTGATTCCTGGCTTCTTTCCTGGCTCCTGGCACTTATTGGAGCAAGTAATTATTCCATCTCCTTTCTTCTCCATCACGTCCATGCTTACAGATCATCTTATTTTCAAGCTGAAGACCCCTAGTTTTATTTAATCTCATGTAAAATGAATGTTTCCCATGTTGCTGATCCTTCTCGTTGTTCTTTACAATTTTTCAAATAATTCCACGTTCTTTTTTGGGATTGAATTAGTAGAATTCTTAGCATTATTCAGCATGTGGGTATAGTATCTACAATGACACAAGGATGTTTTCTGGTTTGTTCTCACTCATAATAATTCCCAACATTTTACTTGCCTTTTTGAAGAGTGCTGAGCACAGCTTTCAAAATCTATTTCCATAGTAGAGTAATTAATTGTTCTGTTACAGATTATTAAGATTATTTTCCCCCAGTATATTACTTTGCATTTTTGGCTGGTTTACTCTGTGATTTGAAACGGGATCAGGCAAACTTTGTCACCTCTTTTCCCAGTGACAGGTTTGAACAACACAGGTCCCAGCAGCGATGGCACTAAGGGCGCAGTAGTAACTTCTCTTTCAGTTGTTGATTGATTCTGAATGGAGCCTGTCTTCTTACCCCAGGAGAAATGAGTTTTCTAGAAGTATCTAATGTTTACAGTAAGCGTGTTGTAAATATACCTGTTGTAACAGGTTTCTCCAGAGACAGGCACGTAGCAGCACAGGCCAAGCCTGAAAAATGTAGGAGAAAGTTACAGGGTCATTTGCTAGGTAATGGCCATTTTTTTCTGTTTTCAGCATATATTAACTAAATGTTCTCACTTTACTAGTATTTCTTGCTAACCCATGATGTTCTTGTTTTGTACAATACTATTCTCTTCAATTTTTGTTGCATTATATGTGCTTGTGAACAGGCAGACATACACCACGTGCGCTTACACACAGTTGTGCTGTTGAGATCCTCCCCAGCTAAAAAAAACTAGATGTGCTACCGGGATTTGCAGATTTCCCTGCTAGAAGAGATCATCTTATCTGGCTTCTTACACAGTCTGGGTCTTACTTTGTTCTTGCAACACATTCTTGTTTGACTTGTTGATTCAGCAGAGACA